ACTGCAGTTTTGATTGTTTCCTCATTTCTCCTTTGTGGGAATTGCCTTGGACTTGAATATTTCACTTTTCTTCTATGTGAATGAGAGTAACTCTACCTTTCTTTGATTTTGTTGAGTTTGATTTGTTTGATTTTGATATGCAGTGACTGAAAATTTTCAACTGTAATGTCATGCACAAGAACATTATTATTTGAAAGAGGGAGTGGGAATGTGAGACACTGTTCTAATCACAGGCTCTCAGCTATTGAAGAGAACTTTTTTTTTACACAGGTTAAATTAAGGTCTTTTACTGGCTGTAAACAAGAAATTGAGGCTTTAACCTCACATGCTGTAACATTAAGTGGCAATCTAGAAACTAACTTTAGTGACTGATAAGAGGAAGACGACTGTGTAATTCCTGGCTCCTCCATCCTGCAGGGTGGCACTGGCTATCATTTTGTACAGCAGAGGTGTGTGTGGCAGCGTTTAGCCCAGGCTGTATACAGTTGTAACTCATTAGGCTCTGATGGCAGCGTGATGGCAGAGCCTGAAAATTAATGCTGCAAACCCTTGACTAAAAGCCTTTGTTACTCAAAATGCATTTAATTGTCTGATGTTTTTCTGGATTTGCTTTTTTTTGTAATATAGGAATATTTTCCATATTTTTGCAGGTAAGCTGTGATGTCAGTGAGGAAAGACTAATAATTCAAAATTTCCTAACATAATTATAATCTTTTTCCTAGTAAGCATAATGAAAATTTGCAGGTAGAATGAATTATACCTGTGTACAGATCTTATACTGGGAAAGTTTCTTAAGCATTAAGTTCTTAGTAAATGTACTTTTTAATAACTGCATCTCACAAGACAGTATGCAAAATAAAATATGGACCTGAATTGCTTCAGAGGTTGAATTAATATTTGTAAAATCATTCAAATTTCCACTAATTAAGAGGATCAGGGTCCCAGTACTTTAAGAACAATGGGCAGTAGTAGACCAGATGTACACAAGCAGTGAGCATTTATTGAACATTGACTATTCATCGGGTACTATGTTACGGGAATGACATATTCTACTGCATTTGATAGTCAACCACCACTGTATAAAGTAGACATTAGTTGTTACCCAGATTGTGCAGACCAGGAAACTGAGGCTTGGAGTGCAACTTGGCCAGGCTCATGTGGCCAGGCAGTAGAAGATAGGAGTAGAACCCAGTTATCATTCGAAATCCCTTTGCTTTGACTACTGCATTTCTGTTCCTCTCTCCCCTGCACCCTTGTCCCAAAACAGCCAGGTTGGCAAAGCCAATGTAATAAATAATCCAGGACATGAAATGGAACTAAACATTTTTTTTGCTATTTTTTTTTTCATATTACAAAATTGACATTCTTATTACAGAATACTTGAAAGCAATGGGACTATGTAAGGAAAAATAATTATTATCTAGGCTACCTGGAGATAACTGTTAAAATGTTTTGCATTTTAGCATTCCCAAGGTACATTCTGAATTAGTTACAAGTTAACATGTTTCCTATAAAAACAACTCCTGTGGTCAAACAATTTTGGGAGAGTCTGAGTTAAACAAAACTAAACTGTTTTCTTAAAGTTTTCTCAGGATTTTAATATGCTAATATGTAAAGTGAGCTTAGAAAATGGAAACATGGAAAGTAACATTTTCCAAATTTATCAGAAGAACACTGACTTAGAGCTTAAGACCCGTGTTCTTTCAGATACAGTTTAGGAATTGCTATGGATAGAACCCATAAAGAAGCATTTAGATTTTTAACTACATATACTATTTTTATTTCCTTTTCTCCAGGATTATATCAGAGGTTATTTCAGTTATTTAAAAACATGTTTTTGTGTTCCTTTTCTCCAAGATTATAATATAGGTTATTTCAGGTTTTAAAACTCGTTAATAATGCTTTTTGAAGTGGATGTACAGCAAACAGTATGTGAATCTGTGTGCATGTTTGCATTGTTTTTGTTTGTTTTTTAATTCTTACCTGTTGTGAAACATGTGGGCTGTCTCCCATGGAATCATTATTTTAACCATGATAGGGTATAAGTTTTAGATTTGACTGATTTATGCTTCCAGAACTGAAAGCTCGTAGAGTGTGCCCAGTGAGGCAACCAGCCCCAGGGTTTGTTTCAGCTGGAAACTCAACCTCATTCCAAGTCAAAGAAATCTGTGTGGGATGGCCTGGGGACTTATTCTCAAGCAGAGACGTGCCAGAGAAAGGGCATCCTTGGGGGGAAACAGAAGTTTAGATCCTCCTTGACTTAGGATGGGGTCACTAGTGTTATGTTCCAATAAACCCATTGAAGTTGAAAATATGGTTAAGTTGAAAATTTATTTCATACACACCTAATCTACCTAACATCGAAGCTTAGCCCAGCCTAACCTTAAATGTGCTCAGAGCACTTAACATTAGCCTATATGGCTGGGCAAAGTCATCTAACACAAAGCCTGTCTTTGAGTGTTGACTGTCTCTTATAAGTTACTGAATACTATACCAAAAGTGAACAACAAGTGGCTGTGTGGGTACAGCATGGGCGTAAAGGTTTTGGTCATTTCCCCCTTATGGCCGTGTAGCTCAGTGGGATCTGCAGCTTGCTGCCTGCTGCCCAGCATCGTGGGAGGATTGACCAGTGTATCACTAGCTGGGAAAAAGACCCAAATGCAAAATTCAAAGTATGATTTCTACAGAATGCATATTGCTTTTGTGCAATTATAAAATTGGAAAAGTATCATCTGGGGACTGTCTGTGGTCAGTTATTAGAATGAGCTGGGAAGGGGGATGTCTGTGTGTGTAATTACCTGCTTGGTTTCGAAGTATACCTTTCTCCCAATGCAGCCTGGGACAGGCTTTTCTGCTCCAGTAGCACTGGGGAAGCCAGGCTGCATGGGGAGGTTTGGTTATTAATCTTTGCTGTGGTCAAGAGGAGTAAAGAGGGCTGGGAATCTCAGGCTTCACTGAGTGGTGAGGAAGCTGGGCTTGTGGGCAGGTATGGATGTTGAGAGGAGGAATTTTAAACTTTGCTTGGGGAGGATTGGGTTTGAAACTCCCTAATAGATAACCCATGGTAGGAAGACATCTGCCTGAAAGAGAATCAACATTTCATTGACTTTTTTTTTTTCCTGCAACAGATGCTTATTGAAAGCTAACTAGGTGTCAGGTACTGAGCTGGACTTGACAGCTAATTGTACTGAAAATATTACTATATAGTACATGGAAATTATGTTCATGGAATAAAATCACTTTGGCTAGAATAAAAACTTGACTCAGTCTTACTAAAAATACACATCTTTGAACAACCTCCAAGGCAGTGTAGACAATATTCTCTCTCTTTTAAAATAAGGAAAAGTCCAAATCTCTGAAATGTCAATTACCATGTAGTTTAAATACTCTTTTTTTTTAATTGCCTTGGTAAACATTATGTCTGATCCTCAGATGTCTTAGTGAACCTCTTCAGAACGTTTCCCTGGAGTTCAGTTCTTCTTATTAGGCTCTGGGAAGTTGCTAGCACTGACTTTTCTTAGCCAGAGTGGAGCATCAAAACTATGCTTCCTAGACTAGAATTATTCATGGCAAGACTGGAGAATGCGGCCCTCAGTGGGGCAGTGGATTTCAAGGTCTGGTGAGGTGCCAAAGGGAAAATTCCTAAAGGGAATGTCCAACATCCAGGAGGCCTGAGGACCATCGCTATGGCAGCAAGAGGTGTTTGGCTCCCAGGGCCCCAGCGCAGCGGGCAAACGGCAGAGCTGCCCATCTAACATCAGTCAGCAGTGGAGGTTAGTCTTCATCTGGCCAGATGCCCGTCCCCTTTGTGGCCTTAAACTTGTGACTGATTTATGTGAAGTGATAAAGAAGCATTAAGAACAGTCAAAGAGACACAAGGTTGGCATTTCAAGGAGACTGGTTGTTCAGTCTTGGCACAGCGATTGAAAAGTTAGGAAATTCTGGAAAAAATTATCTACAATTTTGCATTTATTTTTGTTCTTTCTTTTCTCTCATCTGAAAATGACAATACCTGTCTCATAGGCCCATGCCTGGTATTAGTAGGACATACTTATGTGTACAACCATGAAATACTGACAAAGAACTAAAAACTATGATTTTAATTACCCAGTGAAATGCCTATAGCTATAAAGAGAGCTAAATTGTTAAAGTTCTTGAACATCAGCCATATGTAAAGTTCATAAGAATGGTTTAAGCTGTCCACTCTTAGTTTCTATTCAGTAAGTTAGTAGTTAATATTTGGCTAAGGATCACTGATTCCCAAATATAAATAATGCTGTTTTGTAACTCAGTTCACAGAATGTGATTCCTTGAAGCAGAGTTTCTGGCCCATTACAATCGTTAGAAACATCTCTACCTGGTAAGATGTGCGGATAGTGAGCACACAATGTGTTCATTGTAAAGCTTTATTCCTTTTTCCTCCAGGAAAGAAAATAACCAACTAACCCAACAGGCTCTCTCATTGAACTTCATTGTTGGCAATGGCTCCTAATGAAAAGACCTTGTCTTTGATACTACAAGTCAGTCCCGTTGAGAAAATGAGGTTCTTATTTTTTACCTTCCCTGTCTATGGCTCGGATTCCATTCTTTTTTTAGGACTATAGCAGCAGAATTCAGGCTGGGAACCTCTCATTAGTGGTCCCGTACTTTCCCATCTGTATACTGTAAACAGCCCTTTACATTAAAAATGATACATAAGATGAGACCTGCTTATGAATTGTTTGTTGGTAGTGCATGTCTTGAAGTGATTCAGCTTGAATAGGGTGTGCATTCCGTTCTAAATTGTTGGCGAGGTTCTTTTGACAACACGCATTCTCTGGGGATGGAGCATGAGGTGACATCCGGGTGAGGTGTTCTTCACTGAACTCTTGGTACCGTCTTCATGTTACGCCAGATTCATTTCCACATGGATACTCGTTTAATTAAAAATTGTCAATGATGTTTCTGAAGGAAGGCAGATTATTTGGTCAGAAAGCAAACAGCTTCCCTTTTTCTTTAAGGTATGCCACCAAAGTTACCACTGGTCATGAGCTATGGGAAATTGGTGAAAACCCTCCAGGCTGTACAGAAAGAAGATGGTATGATCACTGGGGAGGGTAAGGGCAGACCACTACTGTGGGTTCACATTTTGAACTGCTGTGTTTTAATAAGTGCAGGCATTCTTATTGAAATTGACTACTGTTTGAATGGTATGAATGCTTGTCACATGTATACTGTTTTGTGATTTCAGAAAAGGAGGCTATTTTTTTTAAATTTTGGTATCATTACTCTACAATTACATGAAGAACATTATGATTACTAGGCTCCCCCCTTCACCAAGTCCCCCCCACATACTCCTTCACAGTCACTGTCCATCAGCGTAGTAAGAGGCTGTAAGATCACTACTTGTCTTCTCTGTGTTGCACAGCTCTCCCCATGCCCCCCCCACTATACATGCTAATCGTAATGCCCCCTTTCTTTTTCCCCACCCTTGTCCCTCCCTTCCCACCCATCCTCCCCAGTCCCTTTCCCTTTGGTAACTGTTAGTCCATTCTTGGGTTCTGTGAGTCTGCTGCTGTTTTGTTCCTTCAGTTTTCCTTTGTTCTTATACTCCACAGATGAGTGAAATCATTTGGTACTTGTCTTTCTCCACCTGGTTTATTTCACTAAGCATCATACCCTCTAGCTCCATCCATGTTGTTGCAAATGGTAGAATCTGTTTTTTTCTTATGGCTGAGTAATATTCCATTGTGTATATGTACCACATCTTCTTTATCCATTCATCTACTGATGGACATTTATGTTGCTTCCATATCTTGGCTATTGTAAACAGTGCAGCGATAAACATAGGGGTGCATCTGTCTTTTTCAAACTGGAGTGCTGCATTCTCAGGGTAAATTCCTAGAAGTGGAATTCCTGGGTCAAATGGTATTTCTATTTTGAGATTTTTGAGGTACCTCCATACTGCTTTCCACAGTGGTTGAACTAATTTACATTCCCACCAGCAGTGTAGGAGGGTTTCCCCTTCTCCACAACCTCGACAACATTTGTTGTTGTTTGTCTTTTGGATGGTAGCCATCCTTACTGGTGTGAAGTGATATCTCATTGTGGTTTTAATTTGCATTTCTCTGATGACAAGCGATGTGGAGAATCTTTTCATGTGTCTGTTGACATTCTGAATTTCTTCTTTAGAGAACTGTCTATTCAGTTCCTCTCCCCATTTTTTAATTGGATTATTTGCTTTTTGTTTGTTGAGGTGTGTGAACTCTTTATATATTTTGGATGTCAACCCTTTATCAGATCTGTCATTTATGAATGTATTCTCCCATACTGTAGGGTACCTTTTTGTTCTATTGATGGTGTCCTTTGCTGTACAGAAGCTTTTTAGCTTGATATAGTCCCACTTGTTCATTTTTGCTTTTGTTTCCCTTGCCTGGGGAGATATGTTCATGAAGAAGTCACTCATGTTTATGTCCAAGAGATTTTTGCCTATGTTTTTTTCTAAGAGTTTTATGGTTTCATGACTTACATTCAGGTCTTTGATCCATTTCGAATTTACTTTTGTGTATGGGGTTAGACAGTGATCCAGTTTCATTCTCTTACATGAGGCTGTCCAGTTTTGCCAGCACCATCTGTTGAAGAGACTGTCATTTCCCCATTGTATGTCCATGGCTCCTTTATCGTATATTAATTGGCCATATATGTTTGGGTTAATGTTTGGAGTCTCTATTCTGTTCCACTGGTCTGTGGCTTTGTTCTTGTGCCAGTACCAAATTGTCTTGATTGCTGTGACTTTGTAGTAGAGCTTGAAGTTGGGGAGCGAGATCCCCCCCAACTTTATTCTTCCTTCTCAGGATTGCTTTGGCTATTAGGGGTCTTTGGTGGTTCCATATGAATTTTTGAACTATTTGTTCCAGTTCATTGAAGAATGCTGTTGGTAATTTGATAGGGATTGTATTGAATCTGTATATTGCTTTGGGCAGAATGGCCATTTTGACGATATTAATTCTTCCTAGCCAGGAACATGGTATGAGTTTCCATTTGTTGGTGTCCTCTTTAATTTCTCTTAAGAGTGTCTTGTAGTTTTCAGGGTATAGGTCTTTCACTTCCTTAGTTAGGTTTAAAAAGGTGGCTGTTTTAAAGATTTATCAAGCATCATTGAATTTTTTGACAGTACTTGTATATTTTTAAAAATAACATTCACTTGCTCTTTGCAATAAACTGTTCCAAACAGAGGAAGAGCTCATGAAGTTAAAAAATAAAAAGCTTGGGGCAAAACTGGCTCTCTCTCTCTGCCCCCCAACATTTAAAATCTCCCATCTTTGAAAGTCAAGGACACACTTTAAAATGAGAGTCAGTGAAAACCTGGCCTCAGGATTATATGCAGTAGAAACATATCAAGTTTCTGAACACGTGTTTCCTTCTCTACTTAATAATCACTTTGTGTTGACAATTTGGCGCATTTCCTAACATTGCCTAGCATTCATTGCATTTTTCCATTTTTCAGTATGATTTAAAAATCACTTTCTGCATTGTCAAATCTTGATAGTTTCCAGTCTGATAGAGGAAAATATTTATGATTATTTTAAATTTGTTTTTTTAGATCATTCATGATGTTTGAGAAACTGTTTTTCACTCACTTTTCTCTTAAAAATTCACTTCATTCCCTTTATCTCTTTTGTTTCTACATTCATCCTTTTCTTAATGATTTTGTAAAAGCTTAGTATGTATAAGCTTAGTATGTATTTTGAACTTAGTCTGTAAAACCTATTGGCTTTTTGTCTTATGTTCCAAATATTTCCCAGTTTTATCATTTATCATATAGTGTTTTAGAAACATTTTTAGCATTCTTGTTTCCTATTATTTTAGAGACAATTTCATGTGGTTTTTCTTGTCTTATTTAATGCATGTATGTACATTATAAGTCTTTAAAATATTCCCTTATTTAAAACTTACTTTTAAAAATTTGACAGAAACAAACTGAAGTTTATTCTTTTGTGGTATGAGATGGAGTCTAATTTTTTTAAAAAAGGAATTGCCTCAACATTATCTATTGAACAATTGAACAATTGATCTTTTCCCACTGATTTGGAATGGCGCCTTTATTATATATTAAATTATTTTTATTAATGTATTAATGGGCTTTCTATTCAGCTCCATTGGCTTTTTTGCTGCCTATCCAAAATGTTTTATTTGCTTGTTTTAGGGTCTCCATAGCTTGTTTTAATGATCTGGTAGGGTAACTTAAAGTGGGCAGTGTTACTTTTAGAAATTCCCTTGGCCTCTCCTAGGCATTTGTTCCCCTCCTCTCTGCAACATGTCCCCAACACTGTTTTCTTCCCTTGATGGCTTACCTCTATATCACAGAACACCAGATTTTGCCATTTAGGAAGGTATGCCTTCATAGGTGCCCTTTTTCAAGAGGAAATCATCTTGGGCTACTGATTTAACCAAATGTCTTCAATTAAGTAACTTTACTATGGTATAGTGCAGGGGTTTTCAAAGTGGGGTCCCTGATCAGCAGTCTCAGTATTAACTGGGAACTTAAGAGAAATGCAGATTCTCAGACCCACTCCAGACCTACTTAACCAGAAAATCAGAGGGTAGAGCCCAGAAGTTGGTTTTAATAAACTCTTCGGGTGATTGCGATGCATGGGAAAGATTGCGAATCACTGGTGTGTTGGATAGAGCATAGCTTTGGAGTAATATAGTATAAAATTCCACATTAGCCCTTTACCCTGGTGTAATTTTGGGGAAATTATTTACATATTTAAGTCTAGATATCATCATCTGTAATATGGGTTGTGAGAATTATGTATATCATAAGCAAAGGGTGTAGATGCTGAAGAGTAATTATTATTGTCAGATTGCTTTCTAATAAGCAAAGGCTGACGCAGTGTGCAATAATATTAGACATAGTGGTGGTATCTAGGGGATTGGAGGGAGAAGTCTAGAAAGTAAGGGGTATGGCTGGTTTTGATGAGTTCTTCATAATGGGTGATGCCAGGAAGGGCACAAAAATTCCTGGTAGGGGATAATAAGGATAAACTCTTTAAGTATTGTTCATAGTTGGTGCATTTTAAGTTGGAAGAAACAATAGCTGGTAACAGTTCCACTTACAGTTACATTGAATGAAATAAAAACTCTGTCATGTTTCTATGGGAGTTTTAAAAAATCATAGCAAATTAATAAGAAATTGAGGGAAGGAGAAGCAAAATATGCAAGTGCAATAAGGATTAATATCTTCATTTAAATGATAAAGATTAATATGGTACAAAAGTATATAAATACATAAAACCCTTATCAGTTACTGGGAAAATGAAAAAAAATGTTAATTTGCTCTGCATATTGATAAATTACTTTGTGCCAGAAACTGAGCTAAGTAGTGGGCCTATGATGAATGCCCAAATGGTGAATCAGATTTAGATATGACTTACGGGCATTTCCTAACTGGGTGATAGAAATAACTAAGTGATACAGTACAGTTGGTAGCTCCCTGGAGCCTAGGAGTAAAGGCAGACATGGATGGCTGTGAGAGCCCCCGGGCTTCCTGGAAGAGGGAACTCTTGAGCCGGTCTTCAAGGACTAGTAGATCCTATGCCAAGTGAGGTGTATAGAAAATCTGTAAGAACTCACTAAGTGATTCGTTCTTTTTGAAGCCGTCAGGGGCCTTACACTGGGGATGACACAAAGGATGCATGGAGTTGTCAAGGCAACAAAGGAATAGGGATACCATAGATGGAGGTGTGAACACACCGGAGTGCCCCGAGTATTGGAGTCTATGAGCTAGACAGGGGCCTTTAGGCTACTGGTGAAGCTGGGCCCAACTGTGCAAGTTCTCCTAAGATTATGGTGGACTGGAAGACTCTGTGTATTGTTTTCAGATAAAAGTATTTTATCTAGTTGGTACTGGGTTTTTTTTTTTTGTAACCTATGCCATTATATATAAGGAATTTAAGTTAGGAGTTCAGAAAAACATTTGTGTTACAAGTCCATGTTCATATAATATGATTTTAGTTTGGGTCCTATTGAGCCTTTCTCAGTAAAGACTTTCAACCTGTGGGTTCAAAAGTTGTTTAGTTAATCCCTGCAAAGCCTCCTCCGCCAGTGGGTGTGG